ACCAGATCCCCAAGAATGGACACCCCCCACACATTCCGTGGGACGGCCATAGAGCTGCAGCAGCCAATGCCATCGCGCAGCTGGTTGGGAGGAATGAGAAGTGCCAGGAGGCCTGGCGCTCCTTCTCTGCCGCGCTCGACTGCCAAAGAGGGCAAGACCCCCGACGGCAGCCGTTGGACACGCTGCACCGCTTCTTATCCCTCTGGAAGGACGATCTCGCAGGGGGAACGCTGGAGTTCCTCGCTGGCGAGCGTAACGCCGGGAGCAGCAACGACGCCGGAGACCACTCCCCCGCCGCTGCCTGGCAAAAACGCCCACCAGCCTTGGACGGCCGCACCCCTGGCGATGACCTCCGCCAGCAGCCCCCAGGAGCCACAAAAGCGACTAAGGAGATAAAGGAGGAACCATCCCCTGGCAGGGACTCCCACGGTAACGGCGACAATCCGTTCGAGGTAGACTGGGATGAGGACAATCCAGAGAGGACCGTCTCCATGGTCGACAGTCCCCCGCAGCAGGCCGAGGAAACCGAAACCAACGGCCCCAGCGACAGAGACGGCTCCCACAAGCGGACAGTGCTGTGGACAGTCCCCCCCGACAAGGAGGAAGCGGCCACTTGGACGCCATACGCGACGGCCCGCGTCCGAGAGGACATGGAAGAAGTCCGTGACAACAGGAAACTAAGAGGGAAAGGGAGCAAGCCAGACTGCCGTCAGGAGACTATCCCGGAACTCGCAGCTCCAGCGCACGAGACCCGCCCGACGCCCAGCCCCCGGCAGGACAGCAGCCCAGAGAGACGGCCGCGCCCACAGGCACAGCCACCCCCACCTCCACATCAAGACGACCCCCTGGGAGGGCTCCCCATGTACATGAGGTCCATCGACGAGGCCGACATCCAGAGGGATGAGCCAGCCCAAGAGAAAGTCACCAGACTACAGAAGACACTCGGAGGCGCATTCAACTGGGCGTGGACAGGCTGGTCCGCAGGGCAGGCAGCCTGCAAGGTCTGCCTTGGGTCGACATCCATTCGGACCCTAAGAGCAACACAAGGGAGCTGTGCGAAGAATACCTGCGGGCGTGGGAAGCTGCGGGCTACGACGCCTATAAGTTGGCGAGGCACCACCATCTCCGGGTGGAATGGCAAAAGGTCACCGAGAAATATCGTAGCCTACTACATCGCAGCGCAAGGGCCAGCGCACCCAAGGGACAAGACAGCAAGGGCCACCCATACCCTTGGTCCGACAGCAGCAGGACAGTACCCACCCACCCCGTCCCACCCGACAGGGCAAGCCACCGCGAACAGACCCAGTCCTCTAGCACACACAGCGGGGCTTTGCAGCAGCACCCGTGGAGCAAGCCCAGAGCCGGCACAGCCGCCCCGCCAGCGTACACCGACTACAGGGAGACCATCTGGTCGGGAGCATCCAGCTCTGGAGCCCCATGGCGCTCAAGGCCGCGCTGGGAAGGGTGGGACCACCATGATAGTTCATGGAGGGGAGCGACGTGGGGGAACAGGGGGAAAAGGACCGCCCCGAAAAGCGACGAGCAATACGCCGACAAGCGGCAACGAGGAAGGGAATTCGCGCGCTGGTAGCCCGGCAGCTGGCCTGGCAGGGGCCCCCCGACCAGGGCAGGGCCGACACTACCAAAAGCCGCCAAGGCGCACGGCGTTGGGCTTCTGGGACAACGAGTTACCCCCTTCGCGGAAGACTTGCCGCGCACGTGTACCGTGGGACTGTCCTCCCTTTTGACGGTCCCACCTCAGACGATGTCCTGCGGCTCTGGCCGCTCGCCTCAACCTCTCGCTTCACTTTCCAGTTCCGCGGCTATCGGCTGCGCTCCCCATCCCTCGTCGCCACGTGCTATCTGTTGTCCTGCGGCTATCGGCTGCTGACCCCCTTCCTCGTCGCCACTGCTTCTACACTCAAGACTGCGGCTATCGGCTGCCAACCCCCCTTCCTCGTCGCCACAGGGGAGCGACTTCCGCTGGACCCCAGCTCACCGAGAAGATGAGTTGCGGTGGGCCCCATGGCCACTGGGTGCCCACCATGCGGCCACACCTGTCGACACAGCCAGCGACAGGACGTGTTTCACCGAAGCAGTGGGCCACGGGGGCGGACTGATGTTACCTCCTGGGGTTGAGGTACCCCTCACCACCGCGATAGTTCCTGCGTTCTCGTGGGCCTTTAGCCCGTACGGCCGGCTGAAATAGTCCCGTCGTCGGTTTGGCCGCGTTGGCGGCCCGTGGTGCTCCGAGAAGGTTCGCTCAAGGCGCTTTCTCCCGCTCTCGGCTCGCTCCACTCAGTCACTTTGCCCGCGCCGTGTGCGGGCCGGGACGCATCGGACGCTGGCCTCGGCCCCTCCATGTTCCCCATCCTTCGGAGTCGGCAACGTGCAGTGACTTCCACGTCGTCGCTCGCAAGAGCGGCTATCACCTCTGACCCCCCTTACACATGGGCGTGTAGACAGTGCGGTCGGCAGTTTTGGACTCATAGTTTGGCCGCTTGCCGGCCCGCGGCGGACACGGTCGTCGGCCAAAGGCACCGCCCTGACGCTTGTGCTAGACGTTGGCTCCTGCCACAGTTGGGCCTTCTGGGAGCGGAGGCTCCACGCCGCCTTGGTGCCTGCGGCCATCGCGGGCGCCCTCTCCTGTGGTTGGCTGGCACCCTCCAGGCATTGGCCCGAACCCCCTCGGTGGCTTACACACCGGCCCACGCCCTGGGAGGCAAGTGAGTGGTTTTGGCACGCTTCCGCTTGGCAGTCGGTGCTCCACCTGCGGGTCCGACCTGTTTCCGCCCGACCCCTTTCTGCTGGCACACGCTCAGCGGCTTTTGGGGTCCGCGTGGTGGCACCTGGGCTTCAGCTGTTGCCTTCTCGGTTGCCCTCTTTTGCTGACACATGCTCAGCGGCGCTAATTATCTGCAGGTGCACTCTGCGCGATGTCGCGCCAATTATCTGTCGCTGTGCCCCAGCCTCGGTCACTCCGCCCTCTGGACTTCTCCTTGCGGGCCGCGAATCAAAAAAAGTATCCCCGCCAGCTGGCCCAGACGACGCCTACCGCTCCCTGTCCGCCGCCTCGGAGCCGCCGACCAAAAAAGTATCCCAACCAGCCCATCCAGAAAGGATCAGCAGGGGGGTTGGTACATCAGGGACGGCTGGAAGCATGCAGTTGCTCGGCCGTCCTCAGAAACAGAAGGATCACACATGGCTTCCCGCATTGAAGCTTAAGATTGAAATCGGTGCAAGATACGACATGGTGCTCCCCGTGGTAAGCGTCTCTAGCGCAGGTGGCTGTATCCACCTGGGCCATGAGAAACAATGATCACACGTAGCTCCCCGCGGCGAAGCTTAAGATGGATAAAAGTGCAAGATACGCCCGGGTATTCGCTGTGGTGAGCGTCTCTGGCGCAAGCGACTGCATCTATCATTCGTCGCCCTTGTCGCACAGTTGAGAGCCGCACCCCCATATGCATCCTTGATATATGCCCCCGCACTGAAGGTTATCTTGAACTCGCGTGCGGCTGCTGGTGCTGGTGGTGGTGGCGGCGGTGGCGGTGGTGGTGATGCTGCTGTTGTTACTTGTGGTGCTCTGTTGCCCTCTTGGAGCCATCTTGGAGCAAGTGGTGCTGCTGGTGCTGGTGATGCCTGGGGCCATCTTTGGGGTAAGAGGAGGGGGGGAGGAGGAGGAGGAGGAGGAGGAGGAGGAGGAGGAGGAGGAGGAGGAGGAGGAGGAGGAGGAGGAGGAAAAACAGAAAAGGAGGAGTGGGGCTCTCTTGGGGCTCTCTTGGGGGTCTCTTGGGGCTCTCTTGAGGCTCGCTTGGGGCTCTTTTGGGGTGCCTTGGGGCCCTCTTGGAGCTCTTTTGGGGGGGTCTGGGAGGCCTCTTGGGGCAGTCTTGGACCTCTTCGCTCAAATTGAGGGGGGTAGTAAATTTAGGCCCCCCTCCCTCGAATGCCCAAAAGAGGCGTCGTGGGACCCTCTCGGACCGCTCTTGGGGCGCTTTTGGGCGCTCTTGGGGCCGCCGTGGGGCCCATCTTGGGGCCATCTTCGGGCCATCTTCGGGCCATCTTGACGCCCCAAGAACCCATCGGAAGCGAAAAAACGAAAAGGCAACAACACAGTGGTTGTCCTTAGGTGTTGAACCCATTTGGGCCTCTTGGGGGGGTCCTTCGAGGGCTCGGAGGACACTAGAAACCGTGTTGGGGCCGTCTTGAGGCCATTTGGATACGTGTTGGAGGCTATCTTGAGCCGTCTTGAGGTATCTCGGGCGATCTTGGAGGCCATCTTGGGCAAGCTAAAGCCCTCTTGAAGCTATCTTGGGCCATTTTGGACGCTCTCACCCATCGCGGGGGAGCCCGTCCAGACCTAGGAAGGGGGGGAGAGGTAAACCTCCCGAGAAAGGACAGGAAGGAGGCTGGAAAAGGAAACGCTCTAGACCACCTGCGCCCAGAGGGCTGGTGGGATTTCAGGGGGGCCTGACTCAGCATCATGCTGGAGGCGGGTGTGCGCCACGTCGGTGCCGCTCGTGCCAGTGCGAGCTGCCACCACTGCTGGTTCACGGCTACCCATCGCTCCGTCATCCAAGCTCTGAATGCATCGTCGAGCTCGCTCCACTCTTCCGATGTGTAACCCGCCATCGTCGCCGCATCCTCTAGTCTCGGACCCCTGACCATGAGCGTGTATGAAATCTGACCTTCATGTATGACCTTCATCGGTCGAAGTCAACAGTTGTCGTGAGCAGAGCGAGCGATCAACAGAGTGATGGTAGTGGTGTCAGGAGGGAAAGAGACACACAGACACAACTAATCGTCGACAACTATAGGAAAATATGGAAATTGGGGAGGGAAGGCAAGAGTCCAGATTTGTTTTGTGCTGCGAATCCTTGGGTTTGTGCGTAATTCTTTGTGTGTGTGTGTCCATGGACCCCCTCGAGAGCGTCGGCCTTGTCATCCGCGGTGAGAAAGCTGGCAGCCCGTCTGTCGCAATTCCAGCCGCCCTGCAGCAGGAGCGGGTCCGGCAGCCGAGCGGAAGCCATAGGCAAGAACGTGATCCAGGTTTTGGGGGGGCGCCGCTGGGGCACATGTGTTTACAGACGTCAAGACGTTGAGATGAGAAGAAGAAGAAGGAGAAGAGGGTGAGTGAACCACATTGAACTATGATGTAGGCCCACAAAGGTAACCTTAACCCAGAGGATGAAGGCGCTCGAGAGGACTGAGCTCCATGATCTTCAAGGCCATCTCACCGGATGCCCTCATCAAAGTAGAACGTGCTTGGAGGGTGGGGGCCAGACCGAGAATACGGTTGAGAGGTCACTCGACCAAGGTTCACGATCGGTTAACATCGTTTAGTTCTTCATCCGTTCTTGATGAAGTAACATGTTTCTCTCCCTCTTGGCAGCAGGAAGTGCAGACAGATCCTTCTGGCGGGGTGTACGTGGGCAGGATTGATTACGCACAGGCTGAGGCTGCGATACGCCCATCGCCACCAAGCCTCCACGGACCAAAGTTGGCCCCAGATCTTGATGGAGACATGCTCCCGACAGCGGCGCCGTGAGCCCATACTTCTCAAGTTCTGGGCCCAGTATGAGTTTTGGGAGGCTTGATGATGGTGGATCTGCTTCGCCTCGTGCCAGGGTGGCTCGCTCCCCTTGACGGCGTGGGCCTTTACGGAAGTGTGCCGGATCTGTTTTTGTTGTTGCGTGAGGGTTCCGGCGCGGGCGGTTCAGAGGTGGAGGCGTATGCGTGAGTCAAGGTTTCGGTGAGTTGCCTGACCCCACCTGAGTGACGGAAGAAAACCGGGTCGATTGCGCCGACATTCGCGCGCGAGTTGCTCGCGTAGGGTCGCCCGTGAGCCCCCTATCTTCCAGGGTAGCGTGCCACGTTGGCGGCCCGCGTAAGCCACCGCGCAAGGTCGGTCGCCACGTCATCTCGCGCAAGGCCTGGTTCGTTTCGTCGCTCACGTGGGGACGCATGTTTTCTCGCTGCGTAACGCAAGACCGATGCGCCCCCCCCCCCCCCCCGTATCTCGGAGGCGGCAAGCGCCACCGCAGCTCACCTCGGCACCGCCCTCCCCCACATAAAGCCCCAAGGGACTGCGAGCGGGGCTGGAGCTGAGTCCTCCCCAGGAGATGGTGCGAGGCGCTTCGAAGCAGAAAGCATGAGCGTTCCGACGGTCCGAGCGGATTTCTTGGGATCGGCGCTGGAACCCCATGGTCGCGTCTCTGGCGCCGCCCCTGGCGCTATCCGCGCGCCAGGCAAAGGTGTCCAGCGCGGATCCCCAAAATCTGGACGGAGTTCCGAAAGTTTATGTGTATGTTCTTTGTTGTAGTTCGAAGGGGAGGAGGAGGAGGAGGAGGAGGAGGAGGAGGAGGAGGAGGAGGAGGAGGAGGAAGAGAAGGAGGAGGAAGAGGAGGAGGAGGAGGGGATGCAGTGGCTGAGCTTGCTCTCAAAAAATGGGCTCGATGCTCCGAGGTCCTTCCCTGGCGCTCGGATCGAGGCCACAAAAAGGAGCGTCGTCGTCGTTGCCGTCGGGCACAAGGTCGCCGTCGTCGTCTGCTTTGTGTTACTTCTCCTTTTCTTGCCCAGCCCTCCTCAGAGGAACGAGAAATTGCATAAACACAAAACCCGGAGGTCCGCGCGGATTTCTCGGATCCGCGCTGGACCCCCTTGGCGGCGCCTCCGGCGCCACCCCTGGCGCGCTCTGCGAGTCGGGGAGGGAGGTCCAACGCAGATCCAAGAGATCCGCGCGGAGCGCCAAAAGTTTATTTTTGTGTGTTTTTGGTATTCTTCTTCTTCCTCTAAGCCCTCCTCCTGGCCCAATCCTCAGAGGCGACGATAAGGGGCGAATAGCCCAGGGGAGAGCAATACATCAGGGGCGCCGATGATCTATGTCTTCGGAGAGGCTCTCGGGCGAATACGTGTAATGCCCGCCCCTGGGCTATTCGCCCCTATCGTCGCCGCCGAATTCCCCCTTCCTCGCGCGGCCCGCGCGGCCTTCGGGCGCCTCTTCCCTCGGGCTCGGGCGCTAGGGCGGTCGCGCTCGGGCTCGGGTCGGGCTTTGGGGGTTTTGAGGTTCGAGCTCGGGCCCGTGCCCGCGTTGACTACACTTCAGTCGGGCATGTCCCTCTACAGGGGGGATATTCGAAAATAGTCACAAGAATAGGCAAGAAACGATTTGTTTTACCATCTTTTGACTATGTTTGAATATTCTGACTATTTTCATTTTTCTTCCAAAATCCGCCTGTAGGGGTACGAGCCCGATCTAAGACTACACGTGCAGCGTTGCATTCAAAGCCATGGGCCAATGAGTGGGGAGCTTACCAGATCCAGATGGCGAGGCCCCTTCGCAAAACAGGCAGTCACGGATCTCTTGGGGACAGCGTTCTAAGGTTTCCGACCGCGAAGGTGCATTCGAGCACGGTCCAGGGAGGCTCTCCCAGGCTATTGAAGTTTATGCTTCGGCTCGGGTGTCCTTCCTCGTCAGCGTATTGGCAAAGTAGTGCTCCAGAGACAGAAGCAAACATGTGTGCGACGCACGGGGGCGACATCGGGACAGTGCTAAGGGTATGCGGTTCGCTCGGCTTGGCTGCGTCACAGTCAGTTGCGTTTGGTCGGTCAGGTTCGGTCGATCACTGTGTCGCTGTTGCATCGCTGCGCCCTCCTAGACTGGTCGCGGCCTGTCGTCTTCGGCTTGTGTTGGATTTGCGGTCGGCTGGGTCAGTTTTCGGTTGTGCTGTCGCCGTGGACGCCCTTGGCTTTGCATCGGGGGGGGCGGTCGTATCAACGACCGTTCGTTTTCACGGGGGGCGGAAGTCTGGACTCCGTTGCAAAGAATCGCCACATTCAAAGCGTAAGCGACGTCGATGCAGCCAAAGGCACGTTGCACGGCAATTCCTTGCAAGCGACAGGTTGCAGAGCCTTTCCTGGGGCGGCGTTGCACATGTGACGGTTCGGCTGGAGGTTCGCTCCGAGTTTGTGTTTCCGTCTATGAGACGTTCCAGAAACGGCCTTGCCTTCGAGGATCGAAGGAGTTGACAACTCTTCCTCGGCGAAGGGCGCTGGAAGTAAACCGAGGCCGCCTCTGCCGGCGGAAGCTGGCGGAAGGCCGGCGGAAGCTTGCGAAAGTAACAGAAAGCCTCGACGGCTCGAGAGACATCGAGCGTGCTCGCGGCGTGCTGGGTCGCAAGTCCCAGCCCGACACGACCGTCCCTCCTCCCCTGCCGCGATAGGCATCGCCAAGCGCTGCTAGCAGCCCACTGCTGCCAGGCATCGCGGTGGAGAGGGCCAATGATACCGAGACGGTCGGCGAGGTGAGCGCTGGACGGCCGCTCAACCGTCGTGGACCCATCGTGCATGACGACCAAGTTCGGAGGGACCGATGGGGAACTTGAGCACAGGGGTGGCAAACGGGCCCTTAGACGGGCGGTGCGTGCCTTGAGATTGCACGGGTCTGTGTGGTACCATGGCAAAAAGTATATTCGCGCCGCGGCTGCCGCACTAATCCCTGATCTTCGTGAGTTCCCGACTCCAGGAGCGAGATTTTCCTCTACCAGCCCTCCCTCAGGTACGACACCAGCTCGACACACAGAGACTGTTCTCTCAGCGGCCACTAGCGCCGCCAGGTACTATTGTCGCCAGCGGCGCCGTGATCAACGCAACAACAAGTTTCTCACGATTTGAACTTACAACTGCGAGAGCCTCCTCAGGGCCGACCGACTGGGCGAATTACTCAGATTGGCACGTGACAGGAAGGTCGCCGCGGTTTGTTTTCATCGTCCTCTAATGGAACTTGGAATTCCGTGGACCACCGAGGGCTACCGCATGGGTGCATCATTGGGTGCATCATTGCGATGGGTGCATCATTGCCTTCGAAATGAATGTGTTCTCCCTCTCCGAGCTCCGTGTCTCCCACAAATGGATGGACGGCAGATTGCACGGCCTGCGCCTGACCCGCAAGGGACCCCGAGAGAGAGACATCCACATTCTGAACGGCTACGCCCCACTCGACGAAGGCAGCCACGCTCGAGCAGGAGGCGGCTAACACCTATTTGCAGCCGCCCACCGCGACCTTCAGCACAAGTCCTGGGACGCCTGCCGGACGGCCCTGACCCAACTGCCCCAGCGAGTTGTTTTCGTGATGACCATGGATGCGAACGCCTCTATGTCTCCTCATCTACCAGATTTGGGTTTCGCTGGACAACGCCGCAGATACACCGCCACGAACACCAACGGAGCCCGCCTTCTCGACTTGCTGCTGACCTTCCACATGGCGGCCCTCAACACGCTCGGGAAGCGCAACCGCCAGAACGGCACCTGGAAGCACGACGTAGGCACGGGCTGGACTACCATTGACTACATACGCGTGCGGTTCAACGGATCCTACGGCACCAGGGCAGCCCCGATCTACGACCTGCCAGTCAGCCTCGGCGGATATCGTGACCACCGCCCAGTGGCCGCAACCATCTACGCGGGACAACGCGCTCGACGCAGCCAAGATCCAAAACCAGCTCGCTGGGACCGCGACGCCCTTGTCCACGACCTTCGCCTCCTGCGGGACCGTCAGGCTGAACTAGCACCACGAGTGACCACACTACGGTCTACTGTCCACGATCTTCTCCACCAAAGGCATCGGGCCCAACCGTGGAGCGAGGTGTTTGGCGACAACATGCAGTATCCGACCCCGTTCTACTACTTCAACGCGCTGGAGCACACAGCGATTGAAGCAGCGGCGCCGGATTACCTGTTCCAACCGAGGAAGGTGGTCAGACCCAAGCTCACAGACGAGACCCTCCAACTGATCGGGCACAAGCACAGCATTCAACGACGCATGGCTAGACACCACGACCACGACACCCACGCCTAGGCCATCCTCCAGCACGAATTCGACGAAGCCGCCAAAGCTGCAGCCAAAGTTGTACGAGCCGAGCGCCGCCAGCGACTAGCAGAGATGGCCCGTGAAGCTGAGGCAGCGGACGCAACCATGAACCTACGCAAGCTCCACTCTGTAGTCCGGAGCTTGGCTCCTAAGCCAGCGGCACCAGTCGTTGCGTCACCAA